TTTGCCACTAGACTTCGGCTGGTGCGAAATAAAATAGTTTGTTTAAATTGTTAGTGCAAAAAAGCTTTAAAAAAGTGCTTGTGCAAATTGTCCAGTGCGTTTGGCTTCTGTGAAGGTAAATGTTTTAATTTTTGTTTTCATTTTTAAAAACTAAAAAATTTTGATATCAGTATTATCTTTTATTTTAATTAATTTCGTCCAGAAACCAAAATGTCCGATGCTAAGAGAAAACCTTCTAGAAGCGAATTTAAAAAGCGTAGATTGAACAAGCAAAACACAGTTTCAAAAACAGTCAGATGCGCTGCAGAACTTCTTGAAAGAAGGTAGTTTCAACGCTCCCACAACCGACCAACATTTGAACAACGCCCAGCACCTAGATACTGACTTTCCGGATATGGATACCCCTTTGAACGCAACCGTCAGCATTATTGAGCTGGGTAAGCCATCTTAAACGAGTTTGGCGAGTAGTGATGCAGTTCCGTGCAGTTTCAAAAATCAAAATTCGCAAGTTGTGCAGATCTCAGAGAAACATTTAAAAAAGGATACCGTCCAAAGTATCTCTTCTGACCCACGATTATGGCCCGAAATCATGCGTTCAGCAGATAGTTTTTTTGGTTAAACGTAGTCCAGCTGCACCTTTGTATAATTTTGATTTTCCTTTTGATGATCAGCATAGAAGATTCTCACCAAAACATTACAAGAAAAGGCTTAGACATGGAAAGGAGGTTTTAAGAGAATGGATGGTATATTCCGTATTCCAAAACGCTTTGTACTGTTTTCCATGTCGACTTTTTGCTGTACCATCTAGCTTGAGCGCTCTTGGCAATCGAGGATTTAAAGACTGGAAGCATTTAGGGGACTCTTTAGCACATCATGAAAATGTTAAAACTCATATAGATTGTTTGAAATCATGGCTTAAATTGAAGAAAAGATTGAAAATAGGTGAAACAATAGATGTAGTTTCTCAGAAATTCATTGATTCTGAGATAAATCACTGGTCTGAAGTTCTTTTACGCGTAATATCAGTCGTTAAAATGCTAGGTGAGAGCTCTCTAGCTTTTCGAGGAACAAGCGATAAACTGTATGAACACAATAATGGAAACTTTTTCAAGTTAATTCAGTTATTGGCTGGGTTTGCAGAGTCCTCAATAAAGAAAAAATCAAAGCTACATATCTAGGGAAAACTATACAAAATGAAATAATTAAATTATTGCATGACAACATAAAGCACCATATCATTGAGCAAGTTCAAAAGGCCAAGTATTATTCCGTGATTCTTGACTGTACTCCCGATGCAAGTAAAGTAAAACAGATGACATTTGTGGTAAGATTTGTCTCCATACAGAAATCAAGTTAATATCAACGAACATTTTTTGAGTTTTCTACCCATTGAGAGATCAACAGCTAAGGAATTGTCGGAGGTTTTACTAGAAGAGCTAGAGAAAAATAGGCTTAAAGTAGAAAACATGCGCGGTCAAGGGTATACCAATGGTTCCAATATGAAACGAGAAAAATAGGGAGTACAAACAAGAATCAGAAATATAAACCCCAGAGCATTATTATGTTTCATGCAGCAGCCATTCGCTAAATTTGGTTGTAAACGATATGGCAGAATCCTCGTTTGAGGCAGCCAATTTCTTCAATATTGTTCAAAAGTTATATACATTTTTTTCTTCCTCTTCTTTTCGTTGGGCAATATTACTGAAATATATTGATACTTACACCCTAAAACCATTGAGTTATACGCGATGGGAAAGTCGAGTCGACTCATTAAAAGCTCTGCGGTTTCAAATTGGTCCAATTCACAATGCTTTGTACAGCATATATGAAGATTCAGAAATCGATAATATGATCAGAGACGAGTCGAGCGGATTATTAAATAATTTGAAGCAGTTCAAATTTATATGCTTTGTTGTAATCTGGTACAAAATTTTGAGTCATATTAACCCCATCAGCCAACTTTTGCAAACTATAAATTTTAATATGTCACAAGCTATTGATATGCTTAGCAACTGCAAACTCTTCTTTGAAAACCTGAGATCAGATGAAGCTTTTGAAAGCATCATTTTAGAAGCAACCGAGCTTGCTTCAGAGATTGACGTAGAAGCTAATTTCGAAACCACCACACCACGTCATCGTGTCAGAAGCAAATCAAGAACATTTTTGTATGAGGGCCCGGATGAACCCGTTCAAGACCTTAAACAAAAAATATAAAATAGATTTTTTTTTTCACACTATAGATCGAGCAATACATGCCTTGGAAACCAGATATAATTGGCTAAATACTCACAGTAATTATTTCAGCTTTTTGAATATAATTTTTTTGGTTTAAAAGACATGCCCAGAAATGAGCTACTGGCTCATTGCAAAGATTTGGAAGTAGTTTTAACTGATAGAAATTCAATCTATCTTAACGCCCTGGAACTAGCCGATGAAATAAGCATTGTTTCGTCATTATTAACAAAAAAGGAAACCCCTGTTGAAGTTCCCAAGTTTATCGCTACACTTAAATTCGCACCAAACCTCAGCATAACATTAAGAATCCTACTTACATTGCCAGTCACTGTGGCTTCAGGGGAAAAAAGCTTTTCAAAACTAAAAATAATAAAAAATTATCTCAGAACGATGCAGACTCAAAATCGTCTCAATGGATTGGCAATGATAGCTATAGAACACCAAATTAGTGACAAATTAGACTTGAAATCAGTGGTTCGTGAGTTTGTCGAAAGAAAAGTTAGAAAAAGGGCATTTTAATTACTTTGGTTAGTTAGAATTTATTTATAATATGGGATATTAGTTTAGTTAGCATTACTACAACATAATTTTTGTTATTTTGCCTCAAGTGCTAAATTGCTTATCTTGTTATCTGATGATTGAGTTTTTAATAAAACATTTTTTTTATTTTTTTTTTTTTTTTTCAATTTTTCTTGACTTTCTGATATGGTCGCATGAGATTTATTTAAAAAAAAAGGGAGAGGGCGCCAAAATGTCTAGGGCCAGCCTGATGTCACTTGTCTTGTTTGTAAATATATATTAATGTCATAGAAATAATATAGGAATAATATAGAAGACCTAAGGGCAGCTCCAAGACGAATTTTTGGCAGGAAGTCATTGTCTTTAGCCATTTCCTTTTTAGCATATTTTTTTGATAAAATCGTAAGAATTTTCACCTCAAGGGTGGGGGCCCCCTCCCTGGAGCCACCCTTGCATTAGACCTAGCTTCCATTTTACGAAAAATTGAACATTAGATGGCAGAATATTTTATGTCTAAGGAAAAATTACAGTTCTGCTTATCGTATTTGTGTTTGTAGATACTTTTTGTTTTATATTTTATTATAGAGTTTTATATTATTATTTGATTGTTGATGTTCGAATTGCTGGTACCTATACGCGAGTACTATTGACCAAATGCATACCATAATTTCGTTTAAAATTGTCGACTATATGAAAACTGTTTTTAATATTACTTACCGCACATTACCATTACCTATTATGTTTTATTAGCAAACCTATTCGCTCCGTGCGAAGTCTTGGAAAGGGAAGCAAAAGCGATACTAGCGCTAGCTGCGGATAATTCGTGCATTTTAGGGGGATATTTTGTAATTTTGGCATATCAAATACACGTATACATTTTACTTTTTTTCAAAAAAGTAGGTAAAAACAACACAATAAGCAACCGGAGTTGCTGTGTTGAAAATTGTACAAATACTAGCAAAAAAAACAGTGAAACTTATATAACAAATTTCACTAACAAAGTGGAAATTAAATCAAAGAAATAAATGGATAGGTGTACAATAAGAAGAAAAATTACCTTTATTTTTGTGATAATAACAGTAATGCTGGAAATAGTAGACATCAGAAACTAGAAAGTTTTTAAATAAACAATAAATTATCATTTTACGATGTTTTTTAATATCCCTTTATTCTTAAATGTTCATTCAGCAAGGACTAGATTTCAAGATTTCTGCCGTTGATTATAATATTTGGCTGGTATGCAATTTTGTGACTTACTGATCGGAAACCAGTTTTAATCATTCATTCTATGTTTTCTTTAGAACAAAAATGAAAATATAAGTAGCGATCCTTTTTATACATTTTAACTTCACGCTATTATAAATGGTTTCTTCAATGACAACTTATTAGACTTAGGCAACTTCTCATACATTTTCCAGTAAATACTGTTGCCTGCCTATATTTTATTATTGATTTTTAATGATTATACATAATTTTCTTCAATTTAAGCGTGAAAAATATATAATAATAATAAATTAATGTTTTAATTGTTTTATAAATCCATATACTTTTATTAAAACTAACATAAATACTTTTTATTTACGAATTCTATTAAAAATTGTATTTGTCAGTATAGGCAGAAATAGTCCTTTAATACCAAAACAATTTGGCGCTGCTGTCGCGCACGGAGCGAATATGTACAGACATTTTTATAAATTATTTATAGTACCTCTAATACATTTTTTGTATTTTATAAACTGTTAAATGTTAATTTATGCGCTCGCCGGCAACAATGAATTTATAGACAGTGAAAAAATATCACATAAACTTAACAGTTTAATGTGTCAAACTTTACAATTTAAAAAAGCCTGAAGAGCATAGGTATATATCTAATCTTAAATTTAAAACACACCAAAATTGACTACCCGACCCTTTATATTTGAATTAATTTATTAATGTAATAATAATATGAGTTTAATTTAGCAAACAGACAAATTTCGATTGATGCATTTATAAGTACCAAAGTATTTAAATAGATACCTAGAAATCAATATTTTTATATGATTATAATTATTAAAAGTGGATTCCTTTAAACTTGAAACGAATTAAAATTAGAAACTTATCTTAAAATTAAAAATAGATAAAACTATGCGATTTAATACATGAAATTTACTTAAAAAAAACATTCCAATAGTTTAATTTATAGTAAATAAAAATTAATGAGTAAAATAATTTTATAAATACTTTAACTATGCGTTAACCCCTACCTGTGGGTATATTACATTCATCTGTCAAACACGTCAATAACTAAAAATATGATTAAAATGTGATCATATTAATACGCGTTTAAAGTCGACCGCTAGATAATTTATCCAACCCGCGTCACAAAGTCTTTCTTTAATACTAAAATACTGGCATGTGACGAACGAGGAGTAGAGCGTGTGCAGTCCTGCGCTATGGGCGCCAGCAGGATTTCAGAAGCAGGATGGCTGAATGGAGGAGGAAAGACAGGTGAGACAGCAGGGTAATGTTCGACCACCGCCACGCTAGCTGATTTATAAGGTATAAATTTGGAGGTGTTTGCTCCATTTTTGCTTCGAGAATATATGTGTCTTTGGTCTACTAGCGACTTCATTTTATTCGTTTTTACGAAGAAAATAATGTAGCTATAAAATTTTTAACACAATTTAGAAGAAAATATACTTCACTTTTAAATTTGCTGTTTATGTTAAACTGATGTGCAGCCCTCTTCACTATAAAAAGATTTAATAAAAGTTACTTATGAACAAATAAAACATACCTACATACTGAAGCTGATATCGCCTCTTTGTATAGAGCATCGACCTATGATGTAATCTATAGTATTAAAATTTAAAAATAAATCAAAAAAATATGCTTTTTTAGCTGCAGCAAAAATTAAAAGACGACAAAACAAAAATTATAAAGGTTTAAAAATTCCTTCAAATGAAGTATACCATTCATCCCAGAAATGCAGCAAGAGGGGATGGCGCAGTAATAATTAGAGAAGCAATTAAGCATCATCAAGAAGCGGGATACAGGACTGAAGAATTTCAGGCTACTTCAATAATGATAATATCTAAAACTTCTGATGTTATGGTCACTTCTGTATATTGTCCTCCAAGACATACCGTTAAGAACAATACCTAGATTTCCTCAATAGTCAAGAACCTAGATTTATCATTGGAGGCGACTTTAATGCAAAACATACCCATTGGGGCTCCAGACTAACGACAACTAAGGGTAAACATCTAAAAGAAGCAATGACACAGTTAAAATGTGAGTCGCATTCAACTGGCAAACCAACTTATTGGCCTACAGATAGAAACAAAATACCCGACCTAATAGACTTTTTTGTAGTACGAAATATTTCAGCAAACTACATCCAAGTTGATGAGGCATGGGACATGAATTCAGATCATTCGCCCATTCTTCTCACTCTTAGTGACACCATTATCCAAAAGGAAAGCGCTCCTAGACTAATAAATAGGACAACAGACTGGCAAAGCTTCAGACTGGAAGCACAGCTAGATGAAGAAGTAGAACTACTTGTGTCCAACATAAAACAAGCAGCATGGGATAATACGCCACCTATTATGCAGCGAACAACAGGAAATTACTATCCTAAAGAAATTAGGGATCTAATCTCTGCAAAAATAAAACTAAGGAGGGCATGGCATCAGACCAGAGCTCCATCAGATAAAACCAAACTTAACAACGCCACTCAGCAGTTAAAAAGAGAGATAAAACGAATCAAAAATGAATCTATTTGTGAGTACCTTAGTGACTTGACAAAAGATAAATCCACTGATTATTCCCTCAAAGCGATTAAAAAGACCCACTGTGTAGAATGCTCCAATCAGGAATACAGATGGTAGCTGGGCTAGAAATAATATACAAAGAGTTAATAGATTCGCAGAACACTTAGAAAACACCTTCAGACCAAATGAAGGAGAAGAATTACCGAACTGGGCTCCTCTAGTGAGAGATGACTCAATTATCAGACCAACCTCTCCAAAGGAAATTGCAGAAGATATAAAAACAAATATTAATCCCAAGAAAGCTCCTGGCTATGATTTAACTACAGGAGAAGTGTTAAAACAACTTCCGAAGAAAACCATAATTAAACTTACACACCTGTTTAATGACTCATTCAAACTAAGGTATGTCCCTAGATTGTGAAAAGTAGCTGAAGTCATTATGATCCCCAAACCAGGAAAACCTCCGAACGAAGTTTCGTCATATAGGCCAATATCTCTATTGCCTATAATATTGAAACTATTTGAAAAAATACTAATAAAAAGACTGAAAACCATCATTGAAGAAAGAAAACTTATTCCAGATTACCAGTTCGGCTTTAGAGAAAACCATTCAACTATAGATCAGGTTCATAGAATCTCAAATGCTATTGAAAAAGCATTAGAAAACAAAGAAGTCTGTTCAGCCATCTTATTTGATGTTGCGCAGGCTTTTGATAAAGTATGGTGATGGCTTAAAACATAAACTGAATGTGCTACTTCCACAGCCATACTCAGAGCTATTGGATTCATACATTTCAGATAGATTCTTTAGAGTAAAACAAGATGAAACATACTCTGATTTGAAAGAAATTAAAGCAGGAGTACCACAGGGAAGCGTCCTGGGAGAACTTTGTATCTGTTATACACTTGTGACATACCCCAACTAGAACAAGACACAATAGCTACATTTGCAGATGATACTGCCATCCTAGCGATAGGCAAAGATCATGAAGAGGCTGCAAATAAACTAAAAACATCAGTTAATCAAATAAATAAATGGAACAAAAGATGGCGTATTAAACTAAACGAAACCAAATCTGTTAATATTAATTTTACTAACAAAAATGGTCAAAGAATACCAATTAACATAAATAATGCTCAGGTCACTTATGCTAACTCGGCAAAATATCTAGGTATTACATTATATGCAAGACTTCGCTGGAAGGTCCATGTTAAAAAGAAAAGACAAGAGTTAGATATAAAATTCAAGAAAATGTACTGGTTACTTGGTAGGCATTTCAGCTTATCTACACATAACAAAATTCTATTATATAAACAAGTTCTCAAACCAATTTGGACCTATGGCATCCAGCTCTGGGGTTGTGCCAGCTACAGTAATATTCTAATAATCCAGAGATTCGAGAACAAAGTATTGAGGAACATTGTCGATGCTCCTTGGTACATTAGAAACAGCGACCTTTATCGAGACCTTCAGATGGACACTGTTGACCAGACTAACACCAGATTCGCTAGGAGTCACGAACAACGGCTCCACCAACATGTGAACGTTGAGGCGATCCAGCTTCTTGACAACACGAACCTGACAAGAAGACTCAAGAGAGTGAAACCTTTTGAGTTAGCCAAGTGATTGTGTTAATAACAAAGCAAAGCATTGTGCGGTTGTTTAGTGTTACACGTTTGTTTAGTGTAATTAAGTTATCAGACCCCAAGGTATACTAGCGAGTAGAACTTTAGTTTTTAAGATTGCAACCCTAGTTAAGTTAGGTTATAATAAAATTACTCATTGATCAACTCTTGATCAGATTGTAATATCAATAAACGCCCCTTTTGGAGTGTTTTTTCACTTCGAAAAACAAAATGTTATTAAGAAATGTAAAACAAAATGCTAAAACTAAGAATTATAAATACGTTTGGACGACAAACTGCAATATTTTTGTTTGCAAAAAACGACACAGCCAACGTTATTAATATATCTACATGTTAACAGGTAAACAAATTTTTGTGTGATTGCTCATTGTTATATAATGTATAGAACAGCGGCAGTCAAGAGCGGGGGGTGCGGGGAAACTTTTGCGGTAGAAAAGTACCGCCGACACCTCCCCAGGCAGAACGAGATGAGTCGCCTTGAGTGTCGAGTGTGTGGTCAGCTATGGCTGTAGGCGGTTGATTCTCACGCATTGATAAAATAATTTGGTAACTAAATAATTATTTGACTTGATAATTAATAAAATCTAAAATACAGATAAGGACATTGGTAAGTTAGTTTAATAGGTGCTTATAAAACCCTTAACAGAATTAACATTTTTTTCTACTTATCGCTATGGATAGAGGCAACGAATCATTAATTTCATTTTTTTATAAAAATGTTAGAGGTCTCAGTTAAATTCCGAAAGTGATATAATTTGTTTAATGGAAACTTGGCTTTCATCATCAATATCTAATGAAGAAATTTCTACATCATACAAAATATATCGTCGCGATAGGAAATCAAGCTCTTCAAACAAATTGTGTGGTGGAGGTGTTTCAATAGCAGTTTCAAATGAAATTTTTAGTTTCTCTGAGGACTTGTGGACCTCTGCGGATGAGGAAGTTTGGGTCACCTTTAAACATTTTAATGAAAACACAAATCAGTTATTTTCAATGTATTTTCTTTCACTTCTAGTACCTACTCTAATTCAAATGTACTCTAATTCAAATGTCTATATAACTTTAGGTGACACTGAGCATAAAACTGTTATTAAACTCACATACTACTGTGTTTTCGTTTAAAATCCACCCTCAACGCATAAAAACGTCATTTAAACTAATTATGTACAAAAATAATTTAAACAAATCACAGGACGTTGAAGTGACGTCACCTAGAAAGTATATAATATAAAAATTTAATAATTTACAATAAATATCTAATAATAGTAAGTTTTTACTGAAATAATAAAATTACGTAGTCCAGTATTTATTATCGAAACCACAATGTTTCGTGACCGGTAGTGATTGCGTTAAGAGTGATAGTAGAGGTATTTGTAACCTCATTTTTTAGATTATCTTCGCTAAAAAAAGCCATAATGATACCTACTAATAAATTTAGTGTACAACGAAAATATCCCTCTCGTAAAATCGTCAAATAATAATGACATTTCGATTGTAATGTGATAGGCACGTACCTAAAATAGAAAACAAATTGAGGAAAATTGAATATTATAATTTTATTATAGTAGGGGAAGTAAGTGAAGCAATACCGCCCGATCCTGGAGACATGGTCAATATCAATGCGACGTTGCTAAGTAGTTATTATCTCGGGTAAATCTAAATACATTTTTCGATTTTTAATATTTTCAAGTTTACAAAAAAACAGAAACAAAAATAGTTGACATAAACATTATATTTTTTGATTAAAAATACGGCTACAGACTCGTTTTTTTTACATTTTGCTTCGTTGATATATTAAAAATACTTTTTTTGATATATCAAAATTTGGACTCCGTAGCCCCATTATGCACGATTCCATAAATATGCATGCCAAATTTCATAAAAAAATAATAAAAAATAGGCCTGAAATCTTGGAATTACTTTGAAGTCAATTTTAGTACATGGATAACGCTCTTAAAGAACCT